GATATTAGACTCACCGTGTTTTCTACAGATTCTAGAAAGATAAAATTACAACCAACTTTCTGCCGGTGACTTCAAGGAATCAAAAATTCCTTGAAAAACATGGCAGAAGTATATAGCCGGCCGCATGCCCAATCACTAAAAGAAAAACCACACACAAACAGAGCAAGGAATAGCTGGGGAAGCAGCTCTGTAGTAGAGTACTTACCCAAGCATGTGAAAGGCCCTAGGCTCACCCTCAGCATCAAAAAGAAAACCAAATTCCCAACTGATCTATGCTCATGAAATGCAATGTAAAGTACATTGCAAAGCAAAACATAAATTTAGAAAGAAAACACACTACAAAAGTCTTGAGTTTACTCCATTATTGATCATTATTATTAATCGATTACATAGATTGGCAAATTTTTTCAACAAAATCTGTTGAATTTGGTTATTAACACAAATTCAGTATCATTTTACTTATATTAATTCTGAAGACTATCAAAATTTTCAAGTTGTAAATCCTCTTATTAACTTCAAAGTTAAAAACCCATGTATCTAACAGTAAAATTAAGTTATATAAATCATGGATGAGAATGAACATAGTAAAACAATAGCACTGCAAAGAAATAATGACACGAAAACATGTTGGTGAGTTGCTGTTGAAGACATATAACTATTTATACTATGAATGTTACAGCCCTATACAGTCATGGGTCTGTAAGTGTGCATAAACTCACATAATGCTTAAGCAAAAATGCAGGAAAAGGTACTCCAGAAGTCTAACAGTGGCTTCTCTGGGTGGCAGGATTTTCAGTAGTGTTTTAAATTCTTAAACTATCCTTTTTGTTGTTCTTTCTATTCTTCCCAAATCTCTATACTGGGACGTGCTGCATTTATAACTGAGGGTTGAAAAAGCAAGAAAGTTAAATCAATTACTGAACATTAAGCTATATTTCAATACAAAGGATAAATTCTTAGCTAGGCAAATGGCTTCGCCTACAGGAACAACTTTATTTGAGCTTCTCACTTCCTAAATACAAAAACCTTTGAAGCCAGGTGTGGTACACCCCTGTAATCCCAGGACTAGAGAAGTTGGAGCAAAAGGATTCAGAGTACAAGACTAGCCTGAACTACATAGCAAGACTTTGTCTAGAAAAAAATCCAAACACCACCAACAACAAAAAGGGAATTGACTTGTGCTTTTATTTTCTACTATTTATACTGAAAATTAAAAATTAAGTATCAGGTTAAACAAGAACTCTTTTAAAAAGCCAAGCATTTGTTGGGCATGGTGGTATCCACTTTTGATTCCATCACTCACCATAAAAGAAAATAAAAATAAAAAGGGATTTTGTCCAAAAAAATTAAATATTTAAAATACAGAGCATTTTTTTAAAGAAATAAAAAATCCTTTAGGCAATGGAGAGAAGGTTCAGTGGTTAAGAGCACTGACTGCTCTTCCAGAGGAAATGGGTCCAATTCCCAGCACCTACATGGCAGCTCACAACTGTCTGTAACTCCAGTTCCAGGGGACCTGACACTCTTCTGCCCTCCCAAGAGAGCCCCTACTCATATGGTGCACAGAAATACATGCAGACAAAACATCCAAACACACAAAATAAAATTTTAAAAAAGTCCTTTTAAAAAAATCAAAAGTAGCCAGGTGTTAGTGGTGCATGCCTTTAGTCCCAGCACTCAGGAGGCAGAGGCAGGCGGATCTCTGGGAGTTCGAGGCCAGCCTGATCTCCAGAGCGAGTGCCAGGATAGACTCCAAAGCTACACAGAGAAACCCTGTTTCGGAAAAACAAAAGCAAACAAACAAAAAAACTAAAGTAATAGCAAAAAATCACTCTTTATAAATAATTTCTCTTTGTAGAGTGACAGGACAGACTTAAAATAATAAGCAAAAGTATTTCTTTGTAGATTACACAACCAACATGATAACTTAGAATTAAAATTGTGAGAATAAGTTGTTTAGGTAATTTAATATTTGCAGAGTAAAGCATGGAGAAAACAGAATTTCTTTATCCACTTAATTCATGGAAATTACATATATCAGGGCTATTAAAAATGGTTGTAAAGCAATTTATAAATACCATTATGTAATTAAGCCAATTAGTAAGAATTAAATTGTTCTTACACTTAATAGTGTTAGGTTGATAATCCGTTCAACTATACCAACAATTTAAAGCTCAAGTTAGCTGATTGATGCCTTACTTCAATAAAGATGCTTAACACGATGCAAGTACTTTAAGAAAACAGTCACAAAGATAGTTTTGCTATAAAATGTCTAACTTTTAAAAATAATTTGCTCCTATGTTTTATTAAAACATTCAGAGCAAATAAATAGTTTGCCTACCACAGCACTGTAAGTACAAATAGGGAGAGGAAGCATTTAATGTAGTGCTCTGAGGGAAGAGTAAGAAAAGCACAACTTTCTTTTATTATTAACAAAACCCTGCCTAACAGACAGCAGTTCACTGACAAATCATATTTCTAACAACCTTCAAATCAATGTGTAAGTAATTGATAATCATTAGATAAAGCAGCAAAAGGCTATCTGCAGTGGGAAAGCTTAGCTAAGTGACATAAACAGATGGACAGCACCCATCTCTGAGATACCTGCTGTACGACTGCAGTTGGCTCCTTCACACCAAGGAGAGAGGCTGAGTGAGCTTTCTGTTCTTCTGTTCTCTTCTTTCTTAACTAGTCAGAAGGCTGAGATGCCTAGTCACCCTCAAGGGCCCATACAATCTGACCTTTAAGAGTGCTATAAGAAATGTTAAAGTTTAAGTCTCCGTGCTAAATTCACATCAGTTAGACCTCCCCCCAAACTGCAAATGACTTCATACCAACTAGTACCTCAATGTTGGGGATGGAATAAGAGATTATGCCCTAAGGTTTATATCACATTTTGAAACTTTCTGACATATTCTAAGTCATTTCTATCCTGGGGTTGGGGTACAGTAGAGGCAAACTGGCAAAACAATCAATCATTCAAGAAGAACTCAATAATGGCCAAGCATAACCTGAACATTCAAAAGACTGAGGTAGGAGGTTCTCTACTTTCTGACCAGTCTGGACTACATACTCAACAACCCCACAAAAAGCCACCATAAAAAGCTCAACATTCAATTTTTAAGGCTAAAATGGACATCCTTATAAATCCACAGAAAAAGATGTAGAAAGCTACTCATCCACTTGTTAATACTTACTTTTGGAGAAAAGTATGAGGTAAAGTAGAAAGGTATATCCAGTGTGATGGCACACACCTAAAATCCTAGTGCGTAGGAAGCTGCAGCAGGAGGACTATGCTGAATTCAAGGCCAGCCTGGAGTACACAGTAAGTTTCAGGACAGCCCGGCTACAAACAGCATGACTCTGTCTCGACAACTACAAATATGGAAGGCAGCCTTTACTTATGTGACTTATCTGGCTAAAAGATTGGAAAGATCAGCCAGGCGGTGGTGGCGCACGCCTTTAGTCCCAGCACTTGGGAGGCAGAGGCAAGCAGATCTCTGTGAGTTCAAGACCAGTCTGGTCTACAGAGCAAGTTGCAGGACAGCCTCCAAAGCCACAGAAAAACCCTGTCTCAAAAAACCAAAAAGAAACAAAGAAAGAAAGAAACAAACAAACAAAAGATTGGAAAGATCTACATACATGAAGTTCAAATGAAAAATAAATGCCATTGTGCAGTAGAGTGACTATTATATACCTGCAACAAACAGAAGCAACACATATATCCTGTCCTACAAAATAAAAAATACTAATAATATTAGTAAAAGTGAGTACAGCAACTAGTTTCCAAATAATATTATTGTCACTAGAGGGAGTTTTTGAGTATTCCCTCCCTAAAATTGTACTCAATCTCACAACACCCTTTCAACCTTAACCTTGCTGAAAAGGTTAGGCTGGCAAAGCTAGAAAAATCATTACTATATGTTTACACAATCTGTAACCATAAAAATGCTTAATTTCTTACATTTGATTCTGAATTTTATTTTCCATAATCTCTCTCTCTCTCTCTCTCTCTCTCTCTCTCTCTCTCTCTGCCTCTCTCTCTCTCTCTCTCACACACACACACACACACTGGGGTTCATGTCTGACTTCCTTAAAGGAAATAATAGATTCCCACCAGAAACATTATGCTAAACAATCTAGTTTATTATCATTGTAAATATAGTGTTCAAACTGTGAGGTAGGGATCGACAAAAGGAAAAAAATATGAACTATAGTTCCTGAAGAACTAAAAGGGAGACACTACACTATCAAAGCACATGATCCAATTGTAATACCAAATGCAGTTATCACGAAGTGTCAGCAAGGCAAATAACAACCTTTGTGGTTTTGAATTCATCTGTAACTTCAACTTCTTAAAGTGGAAAGAGCTAGCAAATCCATCCTAAACTTTCCTTCGGTTTATTCCTTCAAATTTTAAAAGAAATAATACTGAAAATGATCAAAATTCCCTACAAAATAGGAAACCAATGGCATATAAACTATCTTAAGCAATTTTTGTTGTTTATGAATCCATAAAATAAAAAAATACTACAGATAACACATAAAACATTTCATTTTCCCCCCCTTTCCTCTTCAAACCACTTCTCCCTCTCCCATAATTATTGGTTTTCTAGTATTATTCTAGGATTCCTTTATACAGAAGAGAAATACAAATTTTATAGCTATTACACTCTTCCTTAACACATAAAACAGCACCCAATCCACACCATTCTATTTCTTGTTTTCACTTTATGTCAAAGTTTTGTGCCGTTCTTTTTTCATAGGTCATCGTGGCTAGTCCTGAAAACTAACCAATGACACTCAGCAAACTCCTTGGCACATAAGGTTTCTTTCCCCTAAGATTTTAAACCATATTTATAATTATAATTTAGAGACAGCCATTCTCTAAGTTATATCTTACTAAGAATTTCTTTCCAATCAGCCACAAAATGGATGTTCTACAATTTTTCTTCTCTAATCTCTCTGAAAGTTGTAACGGTGCAATCGAGTGAAATTACCTTTCCTGTGATTTCGGGGATCGGCGCCGTAGTCAAATCAACAATGCCCATAAAAGTTTCTTCTTGTGCTTTTCTTTCACTGAAAAAGAAAACACCGGGGTTTGTTGCTGTCGTCTTAAAAGCACCTACAAAGCCTTCAGTTTGTAGGGGTACGGCATTCTAATACCAAAACCCAACAACCTGATCTGTCATCTGCCAGGGCAGAGGCCAAAGCTCTTCATCTTTCAGGGTAGTCTTGTTGACTACTCAGGACTTGTTCGGAAGCAGAAAACACCCAAAGGAACATAAACTTCGTGGCGCTGCGTACCGGTCGAGCCACGGCCACGTCCAGGCTTACAAGGGTGTAGGGCGGCTCTGGCTCTCACGTAACCACTCATTACATCCATTTTGGGTACACTCTGCGAGCCTCAAACAATCACATTTCTTAGATAAGCATTGGTTATATGATTTTGGTCTAAACCATGAAATTCGATGCCTGAGTTTACCCACCAATAAATACAAAAGGCCTGTGTGATTCTGCCTTGTGTATGTCTAAGGGGACCATCAAGGGGAAGCAATGTTTGTACCCTGGAAATTGTTTAACCAATTAGTAGCTGAGTGTGTTGCTCTACAAGGACCAGCTCTGTCCCTCCTTAGACATTCAAGCCACAAGATGTGTTCTGCTGTAGATAAGACGCATGCTCACACACCTTGAAGCATGTCTATAAAGTAACTTTTCTGTGTGCTATGTTGTGGCTAGCATTTTAAACGGAAAAAAAAATGAAAAGTGAAGACATTAATTCAACCATTTTTCAAGATAGTCAAGATCCATGCCCCTATCACCTGAGACCGCAGTGATAAGCCAGTGAGTGGGAAGAATGTGCAGCTGGGCAGGAAGCGCCTCTAAAAACCTGCTCCACAAAACAAGAGCACTTCAGAAATCATTCAAATCAACTTTCCAGACACTTGTAACAATTGAAGGGATATTAACGAAAAGCCTTTATAACTGGTAAACAAGCTGTGTGAGTTCTAATTTACCCTGGTCTTGCCCAGGTTAGCAGTAGCCTTATAGAGCAGATAGAGAAGTCCATGCCCTGGCTCAGATCTAACATCTTGTCTGAACTGTTACTAATTACAAGTGCATCGTTGAAGGAATTAACTTCTTTTAGAACCTCGGTTACTTATAAGCACAACAAAGCACTCAAACTAAGTGCTCTGGTCTCACACAAGTCAGAGAAGTAATACAAAGACACACCTGTGGGATGAGAGGGCTCATGATGGCATTCATTGCTACAGAGCCAGAGACCCCGGTTCTAGGTCCAATCAAGGCTGAGAGGCTATTCATACGAGCATTTGTTCATACTGCCCTCTGCTGCTCAAACATAGCCCTTCCAAGAAAGCCACAAAGAGCCATGGCCTGCCAAGACAACCCCCCCCCCCCCCGCGCGGGCGGGGGGGGGGGGGCTGGCGGAGGGTGGGGCCCCCCCCAGAGGTTTGGGAGGCTCTGGGCTCCCTGGGATGCAGCGCTCTCTTCCTGTGGGAGCCACCGGCCCGACGAGGGCCTCGGTCTCTTGAAAAGCAAAGAGCTTAACTGACGCCAAGTTAAACTTCTCCAACCCGACTTGGAACAGGTCGGCTTCCTCTCCTGGAGGTGCGTCGACTGCGGGGGACTCGGTTTCCCCGCCGCTCCCTGTAGGTGGGCATGGGCAACCCAAGTGACCTCGGCTGCAAAAGGTCGGAATGTGTTTGCTCCTTTTATGAAAAGATAAGAGACAACAGTAAAAGATGAGGGTGGCTCCCAGGATGAACAGGGACCCTAGATTACACTGGTTTCGTGGCCGCTGCACCCTAATTATTGGGGGAAAAAAAGCCTTTAGACCCTCCCCCCCCCAGTTCCTAGTAATTTCTTTTAAAAAATCAATTTGGACATGAAACAGAAGGCAGTAAATAAACCTGTACTCTTTAGCTCCAAAATCCTCTCTCCAGGGTTATGTCCAGTAAGAATGAAACAAATTCTTGGTGTATACACAGAATAAAAGAACTTCAAAACCGGAGAATTTGGGTGCGTACTCTCCGAGAAGGCTGAAAAAAGAGAATCTTCAAATTCCCGGCTAATCTGGGCTTCGTAGCCAGACTCTGTCCCGAGAACTTTTCCTTGGTGCCTGTTTTGTTACTTCGCCATTGAAAGGCTCTTACTGCACATTTTGTTCAGAATCCAGCTGCTGCTCTGGGTCATTTTAGTTGAATTCACCCATTCTCCATTCATTCCCTGTGGTCCAGGCAGGACACTTCGCAGTTACTACCAAGAAGGACTGCTTTCCAATGGACTTGAATCTGGAAGAATAAAGCCTTTCCATGTGTGACTAATGAAAAAGAAGGCACCTCGAAGGGGAAAAAAAAAAAAAAAAAAAAAAAAAAAAAAAAAAAAAAAAAA